GGAATCAAATTTTAAACAATTCACTTTCGAAGCAATAAATTGGGCTAAGAAGTCATATCGCCGACTCCAAAAAGATACCCTTGATCAATTTGATATAAGCATAGACTCTTTTAAAAACGTAGGTGTGATGGAAGACATGGAAGCTGAATCTCAACCAGTTTCTACACCAAACAGACATCAGTTACCATTAATCGCAGATGTAAGACCTACGCCGAAACGCAAAAGGAACTCCATCACCTTCTGGCCTTAGTACCTCGCAAGAACCACTATCCATAAGCAAGAAACCTCACACTGATAGACGTACTTTACCATTACCAACTTTTACTGCAACTCCATCCACACCAATGACGACGCCAAGATCGAACCCTGAAACACCGAAACCTCAACGTACCAATACTCGCCGCCGCTTAAGTTTAACCACCTCACCCTCATCTCCAGCCTGTAAACCACGACGTCATAATAATGAGAAGGATAAATCCAAATGGTCTATTCCCACACTCACCAAACCAACAGTTATCATTGGATCTTCCAACATCAGCAACATCCCGTTCCTACATCCAGATACCCAAGCCGAATCTTACCCTGGTGCCCGAATTCAGCATATCAATACATTACTCTCCAAGATCACTCCAACAACCATTCCGAAAAATGTGTTATTTCATGTTGGCCTAAATAATAAACAGGAATCAGGAGAATCCATACACAGAAGAATGCTGGAACTCCTCAAACTTGCCAAGTCGAAATTTCCGTCTGCTACCCTTTACGCCACACAGATTCCTTCCTCAAAGGAGCTACAATTAGCTGAACCTCATTTAGTCAATAACCTCCAGAAGTTCAACAGTTTACTATATCATAAACCGTCTACCAATGCCCATACTATTCCTCGCTTCAATGGAGTGGTCAATGTCATTTCGGATAACATCCACTGGATGTCCCCCACTGCAAAAAGTATTTATTTTTCATGGGTCTCCCATTTAAACTGAACGCGGTGGGAAATGCTCTAAAATTAGGAAAAACTGTGGTTAACCTCAGTTCGCGAAAACTTTCTCCCCTTGAAGAAAGAGTTTTAGATAGAGGTCTAACATTTATTCCGACATCTAAAACTCTTTCCCATGAACCAATTTTATCGTCGGTTGAACAAGTCAATAGGACTTTTAAGTTAAATTTCTTTTTTCGGAATAGACTCGGCAGAGGCAAGCGAATACCGTTCATTGAAAAGTCTGGTTGGACTCCACCAGACAGCGCGATTGACTCAGATATTTTGGCTACTTGCGATAAATTACATGAAGAAATATCTCATTTACCTTTGGTGAATGAAAAACACAACCTCACCAAGTTTGAAAGGAAAGCTTTGAATAGCCTAAAAAACGATCAGAACATTATAATACGAAAGAGTGACAAAGGCAGTTGCTGTGTCATTCAGAATCGCGAAGACTACATTTTTGAATTAGAGAAACAATTGAACAATGCTAATCATTACCGTGTACTTGATCAACCTATTTTCATGGAAACTGCGCAAAAGATAAACAATATTTTAAAAACTTTAGTAAACAAACAATTTATTTCTGATTCCCAATATGACTATCTTTCAGCGAAACCCGAAGTCCGTCAACGTCACATTTATACTTTACCGAAGATTCACAAAAACCCGGAAACTGAATGGTCTTTAGCCAATAGGATTCCTAAAGGCAGGCCTATTATCTCAGATTGCGCGAGCGAATCCTACCTAGTTTCTGAATACATTGACCATTTTTTACTTCCATTAGCGTGTAAGCATCCGTCAATC